TACTGCTGTGCTTGTGTACAGAAAGACTGAGAAGCTGGTTAGTTCTGTTTACTGCTGCTATGATTCTTTCCCATTATTTACAACAGAGAAAAGCAAAGCAAAATTCCATTAAGGAAACAAGGGGTATATTTGACAGTAGAAAGAAAATGCACTTCTTTATTGAAAAGTGAAGAAAATCCATGTGCTAGTCAAGGAATTAATTTTATATTGTCATCAAGGCTTAATGTCAGGATTTTGTGGAAATTGTAAAATACACCATTTCCAGGAAAAGTGTATTGCAAAAAATTAAGCCACTGTTATTTATGTCCCTGAAATAAAACAGACAAATGAAAAGTTCTACAGCCTTTTTTGTATTATGTAAATAGCCATGGCAAGGCATAGCTTACCTATATATGCATCAATATTCCAGTTCAAATTAACATTTTCAAAATTGGCATGGATTTGCAAAGGTGGTTAAATGGTTAGGTGATCAATTTCAATGAAATCTCTAATTCATAAAAACAAATCTTTGACAGTAAATCGGTATCCAGCAGAATGCAGGTAAAGCTATCCCACTTGAAGCAATGTAGTATAGGCAAGCAATTCCTGTATTTGGCTGCTTCTCTAGTTTTGTGTGTCCAAAATCCACTACAGTGTACCAATATCCTATTATTATTACTGCTACTACACTGGATTTATATCCCACCTTTCTTCCTTTTGAGGAACCTAAGGTGGCTTGTTTAGCTCTGTTTTATCTTCACAATAAGAACCCTGTGAGGTAGGTTAAGCTGAGAATGAGTGTCTGGCTCAAAGTCAGTCAGTGAGTTTCATGGCCCACAGGGGGACTAGACCCTTGACTTACAGGTTCCAATCCAACATTCTAAACACCACACCAGCTCTCTTGCAGATTGGGTGTGTGGTGTATATATGTAGTTTCTGGCCACTGTAGTCACAGAGATAATTCCAATGGACAGGGGTGGAACCTTGTGGCCCTCCAGAAGATTTTGCCTACAAGTCCCATTATCCCTTGCTCTCAGCCGTAGGTGAAGGATGGTAGAAGTTGTAAACCAAAATACCTGGAGACCCACACATTGCCTACCTTTGCAGATTAGTAGAAATACGACAATGAAGTATTGTATAATTGCATACATACTTACTATGTTTAATTCTTAGTAAATATTAATTTCTTTGTTTGTTTGCTTAACAGGGCTTGTATCCTGGCCAGGCCTTTGACAAATGCCCTCAAATCATTTACACAATAAATCCGTATTTAAAAATGGCTTAGATTAGCTATGTATTAATTTATTATCTCAAAGGTAAAAATGATACATTGATGTCAACTTGCCTGCTAAACCTGGATTCCCAAGGATGAATTGCACATAGAGCCAGAGCAGAAGTAGATGCATGTTACTTGTTTGTATAATTTTTGGTGTACTCAGAAATGAAGTACTATCTTGAGTAAATTTGGTTGTCTAAGATTATAGTACAAGAATACCTGAAGAATAAAGGATATGCAAGTGAACAAAGAACCTCACTCAATCCATACCAGCAATGCTGTGATGGAATTCATACCAACTATTTATTAAATTAATCTGTAGGATTACATCTATCATCAAGTCATGTTTTGAACAATTTATTTTAGGTCCATTTATTCATTTGTCAATTTATAATCCACAAATAAATTAGTCCCGAGGACTCTGAGCAACAACTCTATACATATTTATTCTAAAACTAGTCCTCATGACTTTTTGGACTTGCTCAGAAATGCTAACGGGACATCAAGTGCAATCCTGTTTTTATCTATCTAAAAGGAAGAGCCATTGAACTGAATGGCGCTCCCAGGTAGAAGACTGGAACTATTGGTTGCAACATAGAATAGTACAGTTGGAAACAGCCAGATGGTCCAACCCGCTGCTCAGTGCAGGATTCCCAAGTTAAACCATCCCTCTCAGATGGTTCTCCAGTTGCATCTCAAATGCCTCTGGTGTGGGAGAGCCCACAACCTCCCCATGTAATTGGTTCTATTGTTGTACTTTTAACAGACAGGAAATTTTAACCTGCTATCCAACTGGAATCTGACTTCCTGTATCTTGAGCCCATTATTCCATGTTCTGCACTCTGAGATGATCAAAGAGACCTTCTCCTGCTTCATGACAACCTTTCAAGTACTTGTAGAGTGCTATCATATCCCTTCTCCATCTTTCTTTGCAAGGCTAAACATGCCTATTTATTTCACAGAATTGCCACAGGGCTTTGTTTCGGTCCCTAGGTCCTCCTTGTTGCCCTTCTCTGAACCCTTTCCAGCTTGTCTGCATCTTTCATAAACTATGGTGCACGGTACTCCAAATGAGGCCTATTCAGTGCCGACTAAAGGGGAACTAATACGTCATAGGATTTGGAAGAGATAATACTATTAATACAGTCTAAAATAGCATCTGCCCTTTTTGCAGTTACACCACATTGTTGACTCATATTCAGTTTGTAATTTACAGGGATTCTGAGAGTCTTCTCATTGGTAGTATTGTTAAGCCAAATATTCCTCATCCTATAACAATGCATTTGGTTTCTTTTTTTTCCAGGTGCAGATCTTGGTACAGTAAAACCTTGGATTGTGAGCATAATTTGTTCCAGAAACACACTTGTAATCCAAAGCACTTGTTATATCCCCATAAGGTTCAGTGTAAATACGGTTAATCCGTTCTGTAACTTTTTTTTTTTAATCACAATTTGAAGCGGGCACGCTGTGGGGGAGACGGGCACGATTGTAGATGCATTTGGGGGGTAGGTGGGCGTGCTTGTGAGAGGGGGAGATGATGCTGTACTCACACAGTGAGAGAGAAGAACCGGTGCTCAGTTGTGACGTGACGCTCGGCAGGCAAAGCACGCATAATACTCATATGGCAAAACATGGCTTGTTTATCAAGTTAAAATTTAGAAAAATTTTTGCCTGTCTTGCAAAACACTTGCAGACAAAGTTACTCGCAATCCAAGGTTTTACTGTATTTGTCTCTATTAAAACTTTCTGTTGTTTTCAGCCCAGCGCTATCAGGATCACCTTGAATATTATTTCTGTCTTCCAGGGTATTAGCTGTCCCATCCAAGTTGGGTCATCTGCGAATTTGATAATTGCTCCCTGCACTTCTTCATCCAAATAATAAAAATGTTGAAGAGCAGAGGGTCCAGGACTGAACTCTGTGGTACCCCAGTTGTTACCTCTTCCCTGTTGGAGAAGGTGCCATTGATGAGCACTCTTTGAGTCTGATTCTGTAGTGGACTGGATCCACCTCATAGTTGTTCCACCTGGCATACTTAGCTAGTTTGGTAATTAGGATATCATGGGACACGCAGTCCATCAGGGAGTTTACCCAATCAAATGAAATCAGATTAGTTTGGCAGGATTTGTTCTGGACAAATCTATGTTGGCTTTGAATAATCACTGCATTGTCTTCAAGGTGTTTGCAGACTGACTACTATCTGCAATAGATTTTTCCAAGAGTTACATGTCAGGCTGACTGGTTTGTATAGGCAGTCTCCAAGTTACAAACATCCAAGTTACGAGCAACTTAAGAACAATCTGCCACAAAACCTATTTTAAAAAATTACTGTGGAAAATTATCACAGAGAGAAAAGAAGCAAAGAGGTAGAGAGGGAGGCCTCCAAAGCACGCCTTCCTGCCCAACCCATACAGAGAGGAAAATCCCTCTGGCATTTCCTTGGAGCAAAGAGGAGGCATTGGTATGTTGGGGGGATGGGGGGGCACTAAAGATAGTTACAGTTTTTCCACCTTCACAGAGGTCCTGCATCCCTCATGAATGTGGAGGGCCAACTATATAAGATCCAACTTGCATACAAATTTAACTTCAAGACAAATTTCCATTTTCTCAAGAACAAAACCCATCTACAACCTGGGAACTGCTTGTAGTTCCTAGGTTCATTTTTTTTCTTCCTGGAAGATAGGGACAACATGAGCCCTTCTCCAGTCTCCTGGTACATCATCTGTCATTCATGATTTCCCAAAAATCATAGACAGTGTTTCTGAGAATTCTTATGCCAGCTCCTTTATGACTCTAGGGTGGACTTCATTGGGCCCTGGTGATTTGGACTCATTCCACCCAATCAGAAGAACCTTGGCCTTTTGCCTATCAATCTTGAGCTGCCATCCTGCTCCCTCAGCTTGTACTTCCCCTTCATCATGATGGTCAAAGATCTCCTTATGGGAGAAGAGGGAACCAAAGTAGGAATTGAGTACTTCTGCCTTTTCTTTTGTCTGTTACCATTTTGCCATCCTCATTGAGCAGCTGAGCTTATTTCTTCTACTTCTTTTTCTGAAGGCTTTTTGTTCCTTTTCACATACCTTGCTAGCCTCAGTTCATTCCTAGCTTTAGCCTTCCTGATACCTTCCCTGCAGTTCCGTGCTACCTGCCTGTACTCTTCTTCCACTAGCTTGACTCTTAGTCCTAATTAAGAATCAAGCTATTGAAATCATGAACGGGACTAATGCTGGATAGGACTGTATCCGTTTGAGCCAATTTGTCCAACCGGGTGTCCACCAGATATATTGGAGGACACCAGGCAGGCTACGGGATCCATGGAGTTGTAGGCCAACTCATCTAGAGAACACTGGATCGAAAAGAAAAAGTGGGAGAGCAGGCAACAACCAAGTTTATGTTTTAATGGGACAGGCTAGTTCTATATATAACTGCACTGCACTTTGAAGGGAACCATTCAAGTGTAATGTGCTCAATTCCCCAGGCAAGGGCGCTGCGGCCGGACATCTGCAGCCCGCCCGCCCGCCGCGGCCAAGACTTGCGAGCGCCCCGCAGAACCCCATAAAGCTAGACTCGAATCCTTGCCGGGCCCCTCCACCGGTACCTTCCTCTTCGCTGATTGGCTGGCCGTGCTACATAGAAAACCAAACTGCATCTGTGACGTCCAAACCTGAGTTCCGACGGGCATAGTCAGTATCCAATCGCCGTGGGCATTCGCAAAAACTGCACCCGCCCCTGGTGACGTAAGCAGCGCGCCTCGACGTCGCGCTTTGCGTCCTTCGTTCGCGGTGTCCATGGACGACACCAGAGGACGGGGCTGAGGGGTCGGCGGAAGAAAGAGCGCGATGGCCTCTTCGATGGTCAGGGCCACCGTCCGCGCCGTGAGCAAGAGGAAGATTCAAGCTACCAGAGCCGCACTCACGTTGGTCAGTATTGTGTGTGGGGAGGGCGCGACGAGGCGCGGGCTTCTCCCGTGCCTCAGCAGCGGCGTGGAGGCGGCTCTGGGCGCTCTGCCCGTTGGTAAACAAGCGTGCGGCGCAGGCGTCGCCATGGCGCGTCCTTGCAGGCGCCACTCGGAGGGGCGGCTGGTGGGATTGGTGTGGTGGAGCCTCGGGGGGCCTGCGCAGGTTGGCGAAGCTTCCTCAGTCACGTTTTCTCCGTGTCACGTTTTTTTCTCTGTTTTTCCTTTTTTTTTTTTTTAACCCCTGCTAATATTCCCTGTATTTAGCATAGCGGGCAGGAATTCACTTGGAGAGGCGATTTTTGGCTCATTAGGCTCTGCAGTGCTTCTGCCTCAGCTGTTAATCCAGTTGAGTTCCGATGCATTTTTATATAGTCATGCACCTATTCAGCCATAAACGTTAAAGCGTAGTTCTGAAAAGCACCAAGTTGGAGAAGACTGTGCAAGGGTCTTCCCAGCCACCAAAGAGGCTTGGTGTTTTCTCATGACGGTTTTCCAACTCATATTATACATTTTTTCTGCTGTTCTGTTTTTTTTTTGACTTGGTTTAATAGAACTTAAACATTTCCTTGGGCAAGACATATGTTGACTTAGTTGCCAAAATGTATATAATCATAAGGGGTTTGGAGAAAAGCTGTGAAATTAAAGTCAGGTAATCTCTGAATAGTAGAGTTAGAAGGGGCCAATAAGGCCATCAGGTACAACTTTCAATGCAGAACTCCAAGTAAAAGCATCCCTAACAGATGCCTGTCCAGATTAATCCTGAATGTCTTCAATGTGGGAGAGCCTACAACCTCCCTAGGTAAATGGTTCAATTGTCCTGTTGCTCTAATAGTCAGGAAATTTTATCTGCTATTCTGATGAAATCTGGCTTCTTGTAACTTCAACCCATTATTCTGTGCTCTGCACTCTAGTGCCATTGATAAGAGATTTCAGTTCTTCTTTGTGTAACCACTTTTCAAATAAGAATGCTATCCTATTTCCTGTCATGTTCTTTCTCAAGACTAAGCATGTCCAATTCTTTAATTCTCTCCTTATATAGCTTGTTTCCAGGCCCATAATCATCTTTGTTGCCCTCTTTTGAACCTTTTCTAGTTTATCTGCATCTTTCTTAAACTGTGGTGCCCAGAAATGGACGCAGTACTTAAGGTGAGGCCTAACCAATGCTGAACTAGAAGGGACTGCTGTTAACACAGTCTAAAAGAGCACTTGCCCTTTTGGCAGCCTCATCACATTGTTGATTAATATTCAGTTTGTGATGTATAATATTTCCAAGATCCCTGTTACATATGGTATTGTTTAGCCAAGTATGCTCCATTTTATGATGGTGCATTTAGTTTCTTTTTCCCAGGGGTAGAACTTGGCATTTGTCCCTATTAATTTTCATTCTGTTGTTTTCAGCCCAGTACTCCAGCCTATCAAGATCACTTAGAATTGTGTTTTTGTCTTCCACAGTATTCTCTTACCCAATTTTGTGTTATCTGCAAATCTGATAAGCAATGCCTGCATCTGCTTATGCAAATCATTAATTAAAATGTGTTGAAGGCCCAGGACTGAACTCTGCAATATCCCACTTATTACCTCTTCCCAGTTTAAGAAGGTGCCGTTGATGAGCACTCTTTGAGTCTGATTCTGTAGCCAACTGTGGATCTACCAGATGGATGTTCCATCTTGCCCACTTTTAACTAGTTTGTTAATTAAAATATCACAGAGCACTTTGCCAATAGCTGTGTGAAGTGTTCACAGCATTTCCAGAACATTCCAGGGAGTTTGGCCCATCAAAAAATGAAATCAGATTAGTTTGGCAGGATTTGTTCTTGACAAATTCATGTTAGCTTCTAGTAATCATTGTGCTGTTTTGAAGGTGTTTACAGACTGACTGCTTTATTATCTTCTCCATAATTTTCCCAGAGGTTGATGTCAGATTTACTGGTCCATAGTTCCCAAGTTCTTCCTTTTCCCCTCTTTTGAAGATAGGGACAACAATAGCCCTCCTTCAGTCATCTGGCACCCATTCTCTATGTGTACATGTTTTATGTGAAAGAAATAAATTCTGGGTCAAAGTAAACATTGGTAGCCTAGACTTCTTTGATTCTGATTCTGCATAAATCCTCTTCGAGGGTGGGGGTGGGATTCCATTGGCTTTCTTCAGCTAAGTTGCCCAGTATGGCTTGCTCTCTCTGTTCCCTATGTCCGCCTCACATTGAGCATTTGTTTTCCCTTCCTCCGTTTTAAAAAGTTGACTGCCTCTCCTAAGGCTTAGTTACTGGCCAGAAATGCTTTAAAATAAAGTATGCCAATACTTTTGCTATTCTCTGTCCTTCATGCCCATCCACCACTGGCACGTGCCACCTGAGAATTTCTTTGAAATGTAATGTGGACTTCAGACTTGTGCCCTGCCATACTTGTATATAGCCTGTTTGTTGCTGTGAGTTTCCAGGGGAAAAATAATTGAAGAAATTTCAAGTGCTATAAAAGAATTATGATTCAATATGTTTAACAGCACTTAAAAACTATGCCATGTTAACCTAACATGCTATATAAATGAAGTTTTTCTGATAGCCATATTCAGACTGAAATATTTAATTAGAAAAACATCATGAAAAACATGTGGTTTAAAAATATATTCAAGTATTTGAAGCTGCAAATTATTTTATTGGAATACTTGTAAACATTTTAAGACATGATAATAGCATGTGCCTGATTTATATTATTCATGTTTTAAGTAACAATTATGTATGGAAAACTGTTAACATTAATTTTAGTATGCCCAAAAAGCAGTGCAGTGGATATAGTTCTTGCCTGGATATAAACCCTTGTTTACATCCTCTCCATGTGTTAGATCTGATTAGGGTCATGCCCGCTGCTCCCTTCCCCACCCTCATGTTCAATGGAAGGTGAGAACAGGTGATCTGTTTCAGCAGTCTTAGTATCCAAGACAGGGGACAGGGTGGTAAAGTGAAGGCATCCATCATGCAAGTGGAGGTCAATGCCAGGGGAAGGCAGCACCAGCTCTTTAGGCAGTTCTCCTGTCAAGTAACAGGTGGAGCCAAGAGCCATCAGAAGCCAGCTTCAGAAGCTTTGGGGTCAGTAGCTAAAAGTGGAGACACATACCAAGGAGCACATCCTGGAGGTGCTGATCCTGGAGCAGTTCTTGACTGTCCTGCCCCTGGGAATGCAAAGCTGGGTCAGGACAGTGGTGTGTAGGTTATGCTCTTAGCTAAAGATGTCCTAACAAAGCAGAAAGAGACTGCGAGCAGTTTTTGTTGTGTCAGCCTCTGGCGGTAGCAATGACTGCAGTTCTTTGAGGCAGGTCAGGTTCAGCCACCAGATTTCTGGATAGGGCTGCGTATCTGCAAAGAGGAGCAAGATGAAGAAGGAAAGCCAGGAGAAGCAAGCCCTTGAGAACAATTAAGACAATGTTCAGTCAGAGAACCAAAGCCAGTGGAATCAAGAGGCAAATTGCCAATAGGAAGTAATCTTTCCCTGAATTATAAACAGGTACAAAATGTGGAAGTAGATTAACTGTTCTGGAGAAGAGAATGGATGAAAGCCTTCTTGGGGTGAAATGTAACTTTGATCAGCAGAGAGCCAGATTATGCCAAAAATGTTATCCCTCTACAATTTGGAGCTCAGGCCTTGGAGTGCTTGAACCAAACCAGGAAAGAAAGCATGTAAATGCTCAGTGTAGGAAAGTGTTTGGGCATAAGGGAACTTTTTAGAATCATGAAAGATTTCTGTTGGAGGGAAATAAAAATAAATATGTTCAGAGTGCAGGAAATATTTCAATCAGAAGGGAGATCTTACAGTAAACCAGAGATCCACACTGGAGTAAGATCATTATGTACATAGAATGTCTGAAAAGCTTCAGGCAAACAGGAAATCTTGCCAAACATGAGAAGCTACACTCTAGATAAACTATACAACTGTTTATTGTCTTTGAATAATAATGAATATATGATACCATTGAGTATCAATGTATATCCAAATATGAGAGAACAAAATAATACCAAATCATTTGTTGCTGAAATTGTTCTTTGTTGTGGTCTGCTATCATGTAAGCCACACTGAGATGGCATTTTATCCTAAAGAGTCCCTAAAAATATTTTAAATAAAAAATAAATGTAGCCTACTTCATCTTCTGAAAATATAGAAGGCTAAACCAACAGACATAGACTTGACTCCATCTGCATTTTTTGATGAAAGACAAAAAGAACTCGAGAGGGGACTAATCAGCTGTAGTAATCTGAAAACAGTTTATTACAATTTTGAAGTTATTCAATTTAACTGGTATTGTGCTCATTTATTAAGTCATTAATTTCACAAACAATGTACTCTTTACCATGGAAAAAACAGTACAGTTTTCCATCCGAGCCATAATTGAGCCTGTTCTCATGTTCTGCCCAGGACAGAGGGTTGGTCCAACTGATGCAATTTTTCATTAGTTAAAGTCACTTAATCACCACCTTTCTACAAGCTCAGGGCAGTATGCCTGTACACATAATCCTTCCTTCCCTTGTTTGATTGAATACGTGCCTTAAAGCAAGAGAAGACACTGGCTGCACTGTCTTTTCATCTCATTTAATATTAATAGTGATTAGAAAAGCACAGGCATCCAGGATTAAAGGGATGGGGCTGCTCATGATGCAAATCAGGGTCTAGCAGCAGCAATAGTAGCCTGAAAATGGTAATGGAAAAACAAAGCCAGCACATGCATTGTTTCCCTATGGTTTCAAGATTGTGGGATCTCTGTGATCACTCTAGAGTACAAGCCTGAAGCAAGTTTAAGGGTGTATTTATGGCATAAGTATCCATATAAATGGCATTTCAAAAGCCCAGGAAATGTTAGCTTAAGGTATGTTGCTGTTTTTAAAGTTATCAGATGTAGCAATCATGAATAAACTTACCTGGGAATAAGGTCTGTTCAAAACAGGCCCAGTGACAGATATCAGCATGGGGAGGGGTGTGCCACCATCCTTACCTTTTTCCGTCATGATGTGCATCTCTCCATTTTTCTGTCAAGTTTACATTTCAAGTATTACTGATGTGAACCAAGCTGGTGCTGTTTTGGTGTAGCTCCAGCAAGTAGGCATGTCAGTAGACAGGAGAGGGGCTGTGGCAGTTCAGCAATTGGGAAACTGCAGTAGTGGCAGACAGGGGCCTTCGCTGGCAGGGCTGTTTGGCAACTCTCTGCCGAGGGCCCATTAGATTCTGGCGCTAGCCCTGATTGCAAACTATGAGGCTTATGGCTGAATAGACAAGAATTGATGGATGAGACAGTTAATTTTCTAGGAGCAAAACCCTTTTTATCTTCTCGCTATTTTAATGTTTAATTGATTTTTAACTACGGTTTTAGTATACTAACTGTTGGATGCTGTGGTGTTATTGTTTTATTCTACTCATTTATAGTAAGCCATCCCAAGATGTTTGTAGTGGACAGGTTAGAAAAGCTTTTAATAGATACATAGATAGATAGATAGATAGGTAGATAGATAGATAGATAGAATTTTACAATGCATTTGTTAAAATTGAACAGTAAAAGGATATTTTTCCTACACTTTAAAAATATAAAATCATTTGTTGGAAAACTAAGTGGAAATTTCTAGGAGCAAAAACCATGTAGTATAAAGATGCTAATAACTTAGTATTGGATTTATTTATTTATTTATTTATTTAAAACATTTCTATGCTGCCCCATTCACCAAAGCCTGGGGGCGGCTCCCAACATAAAATACAATACATTAAAAATATAAAACAAATTAACAATATAAAATAAGTCGCCCTGGCCAGATAAAATAAGCAAATAATATTAACAATTAAAATGACGTTTAAATAAAAAGGTCTTCGCCTGGCGTCGAAAAACAAATGACGGCGCCAGGCAGACCTCTCTGGGGAGCGCATTCCATAGATTGGGTGCCACCGCAGAGAAAGCCCTCCTCCGAGTACCTACCCTCCTAATTTCTTTCATGGAGGTTTCCCGGAGAAGGGCCTCTCCCGCAGATCTCAAGGGCGGTCGGGTATATATGGATGTAAGCGCTCCTTCAGGTAACCAGGACCCAAGCCGTTTAGGGCTTTATAGGTCATAACCAACATCTTGAATTGGGCCCGGACTTCAATGGGAAGCCAGTGAAGCTGACGGAGGACTGGAGTCATGTGAACATAACGCCCAGTCCCCATCAGCAGCCTGGCAGCTCTATTTTGAACCAATTGAAGTATCCGGACCGTCTTCAAGGGTGGCCCCACGTACAGCGCATTACAGAAGTCAAGGCGGGAAGTCACCAGCACATGTGTCACTGTCACCAGGCAGTCGTACTCCAGGTAGGGGCGCAGCTGATGGATCAGCCGAAGCTGAAGGAAAGCACTCCTCGCCACTGCTATCACCTGAGCTTCCAATGAAAGCTCTGGGTCGAGGAGCACTCCCAAGCTGCGGACCTTGTCCCTAAGAAGGAGTGCAACCCCATTCAGGACTAAGTTCAGTTCACCCTCTCCGAAGCCCGATCCGCCAACCAACAGGACCTCCGTCTTGTCTGGATTGAGCTTCAGTTTATTGGCCCTCATCCAGCCCATTACCTCGGCCAGGCACTGGTTCAGTACAGCCACTGCCTCACCTGGATTGGTGGAAAACGAGAGGTAGAGCTGGGTATCATCAGCGTACTGATGATTCTGCAGCCCACACCTCCTGATGACCTCTCCCAGCGGTTTCATGTAGATGTTAAACAGCAGAGGGGATAGAATGGAGCCCTGTGGTACTCCATGGCATAGCTGCCATGGTGCAGAGCCGTAGTCTCCCAGCACCACCTTCTGGAATCGGCCATTGAGATAGGAGCGGAACCACTGCAAAGGAGTGCCTCCGACCCCCAATCCCGCTAGCCTATCCAGAAGGATACCATGGTCGATGGTATCGAAAGCCGCTGAGAGGTCCAGAAGAACCAACAGGGACGCACTCCCCCTGTCCTTCTCCCTGCACAGGTCATCGTACAGGGCGACCAAGGCAGATTCAGTACCGTACCCGGGTCTGAAGCCGGACTGAAATGGGTCCAGATAATCAGTTTCATCCAAGAGAGCTTGGAGTTGTCCCGCCACCACCCACTCTAACACCTTGCCCAGAAACGGGATGTTGGCCACTGGTCTATAATTAGTGGCCATCTCTGGATCCAGTGACGCTTTCTTCAGGACCGGTCGGACTACTGCCTCCTTTAAAGGGGCAGGCACCCAACCCTCTCTCAGAGAGGCATTAGCCACTTCCAAGATCCAGATCCCAATCCCATGCTTGGAATTATTTATTAACCAAGATGGGCAAGGGTCCAATAGGCAAGTGGTGGGACGTACTCATCCAAGTACCTTGTCCACATCATCGGGCTGCAATAACTGAAATTCATTAATTTTGGACCAGACGGCAGCATTGGTGTCTCCCCAGAAACCTCTGATTCACTAGTGGTGTCTAGCTCGTGACGAATCTGAGCGATTTTCTCCCTGAAATGCATGGCAAAGTCATCACAGCAGGCCTTTGAGGGTGGAACCAGATCTTTCTTAGGACCTGGACGAACCAGGCCTTGCACCACTCGAAAAAGTTCCGCTGGACGGCATTTTGAGGAGGCAATGGAAACGGAAAAGAAACTCTTTTTCGCTGCCCTCACCGCCACAGCATAGGCCCAATAATGGGCTCTCAAGTGTGTTCAGTCAGATTCATCCCGTGATCTCCTCCACCTACGCTCTAGCCGTCTCCCAACCTGCTTCATCGCCCGCAATTCAGGTGTATACCAAGGGGAAGAGTGGGCTCTGGTCATCTCCCCGTTCAGGTCATCTCGTGGGCTCTGGTCATCTCCCCGTTCAGAGATACCCTGGAGCAACTTGGCAATTGTCCATAAGCTTGAGTGGACTCTGGGAGATGGTGCAGGACAGAAAGGCCTGGAGGAATGTGGTCCATGGGGTCGCGATGGGTCGGACATGACTTCGCGACTAACAGCAAATTGGGGGAACAGAAAACCATGCCTTTTTGAACTTTTCTCCCTAAAATATAATCAGATCAATAAAATCAACATCAGAATACAATTGATTATTTAATGCAATTTGTTGATGAAAATGTCTTTCAGACCCCATCTGCTGTGAATAAGATAAAACAGCTGCTTAAAGACAAACCTGACCATGTAAGTAGAGGTGAAGAGTATTAGTCATTATGTGTAATAGTATCATGTACTGTTAATGAAACACTGGTGGCTGCCCTGGGGTGTGATATATGGTAATTTTGAAAACTCATATGTAGAGCAAATAAAGTGAAAGCATGCAGATGTTAAATCTGGGGTTGAAACTTTGCAAATCTGTGTGTTTAACAATGGAAGCAAAAGTGCTGCCTCTGAGACCACTGTTTCCGCCATATAATTATAAGCTGTCTCTGTGTGTGTGTTGATATTGTAAAGACTTCTGGAGTAGCAAGTTAATGATTCTTTCTTAACAAACTTGTGCCATCTAACTCTTATCATTCTGCTGTGAGGGGGCAATTCTCCCTCCCAAGCACCCTCAAAACCTGTTCCAGAGGGCAAAGAAACCCTGGGAAACAGGTTGTTTGGCTGCAAGTAGGAGGGAAAGAAAGCTTTGTCAGACTAGCAGATTTCCATTGTGAGACATTAAATTGGGATTGTATGCATTCTTTCCTGACCATTTTAAGAATGTCTATAAATAGCATAGGGTATGGTAGAATTTTCTGGACCTTATGCCATTTATAACGACTCTGGTTTCTCTTTATAGTTTTGAGTATTGAAAACCTCAGTCATGCAAAAGTTAGTTTAGTTCCATTGACTTCCTACCCAAATTGTTCAGTTGGTTCAAGTAATACTTGAAGCTACGTCCTGGCCATGTCTACTGAGAAGCAGGTGCTAGTGAGATCAGTGGGGCTTACTCTTCCCATTTAATGTTGGAAATGTTAAATATGTGTAGAATTCCAGTCTTACTGATCTTCTCTGGATGAATTTTTTCAGAGATACACAATTCTAGGAGCTTGTTTGTTGACTTTCAAATACCCAGCCTTGCAGTGTTTATACTGTGTGCTTTAAAAAAAACTATTCTATGCTTTTTTCAGCTTCATGCAAAACTGTTTCCACAGTACTCAATTTTACCTTTCAGGTAGGAGTTAAAGTTGGTGTCCGTACAAGAGGTTGTAATGGACTTTCCTATACACTAGAATATACAAAATCAAAAGGGGACTCTGATGAAGAAGTAATCCAGGATGGTAAGTTTGTTTTAACAAATGTTTTTATTAATTATATCCATATTTAATTATAATTATGGAAACTTGGCACTAAACTAAGGAGGAACCTGTAAAGTTGAAGGTAATCCTAATTCATTGTGTTAATGACTCCAAATAAATGTCCTCTTTGTGTAGAATGACGTATTCTGCAACTAGTCATTAAAGGCTGAATCATTGAATGTGCTTGTTTATGAGTAAGTCTTTCATACTTGAGCAGTGCATTTGACTGCACTTGCTTAGGCTCATAATTTGGACACTGTAAAAAATCCACTGGAATTAAATTCATCAAGAAAGTTTTTATACTTTGAAAAAATCCATCACTGATAGAAGCCTGCCAGTCAGACAGCGACAGCTGAATTATAAGGCATTTTATTTGCTGGGAGAGTGCAGCATCATAGAGAAGTTCTACAAAGTGAAATTTTAAAAGCCTGTGGTAAACTGAATAGTAGAAAAAGGCTTTCTGCAAACTGTAACTTAGGCCAGGTTTGAGCCAGGCTTAAGCTGTTTGTTGTTAATTTGAATATTGCACCCAGAAGCTGTGTTGATAAATCACACTGGCTAGTAGAATGTTCAGTTATTCTCTTAACCTCTCTTGGGTGTTTTGCATAAACCTAATGAATCCAGAGTTTACAAAGTCTTTGCAATGTTACAGTATTTTTTTCTTTCTTTTTATCAAGGTGTTAGAGTGTTTATTGAAAAGAAAGCACAGCTCACACTTCTAGGTACGGAAATGGACTATATAGAAGACAAACTGTCCAGTGAATTTGTTTTCAATAATCCAAACATCAAAGGAACATGCGGTTGTGGAGAAAGCTTTAATATTTAAAATTTCAGGACACATGCAATGTTTTTGACACCACAAGTCATTTCTAAAATAAACACTTGGCACGTGTTTTTCAGGTCTTTAAGCTTTGTATATTATGGCTGCCTTTACAGGAAAATAAACACAATTCATCAATGTTATCTCTGTGTTAAATTCTAGCCTTTGTGTTTTTTTGAAGTTAGATAGCATGGAAATGGATTTGTCTACAAAAACTATGAATACTGAGATACAGTAATATTTTCTTTGATTTTACAGAAAATTCTAGTCTTTCCTTTAAATAGTCCCTTGTCTTCAGCATTCTACCAGTTCTTCACAATATACACCCTAACAAGTATTCTGTACAGACATATTTCTACTTCCTTTTATTGGATTGGAAGAAGACTCAGTACTGTATACCTATGCCCTAAAAATGAATGTTTGTGATTGGAGGCACAAGTAAAGTTCACATTAATTAAAATTTTTTGAGTGTTTCCCTTTTGAAATAGTTTTTGTATGTAAGTTTGAAAGCAAGCTTGAATTCAGAAAGGGTCTTGGATTAATATAACTTCAGATGAGTCCATCTTTATTTCATATAGCATATCCCTAAATCCTAACCCTAACCCTTTCAATTCTTGTAAGTGGTATAAATGTTTTGTTCAAAAACCAAAGAGAAAATGTGCTCAAGTGCCATAAGAAGTCTTAATAAATGGGATGCATTTCCGTGACTTCAGGGCCACTTGTCTTTTCCCATGTCTATCTCTCAAAATGGTGCCAATGCATTCTCTATTTCAGAGATTCTTACGGCTTTTGAGAACATTTCTCTCCTGCTTTTGGATACAGTTGGTCCCTTTCCCTCATACTGAGTCTGTTCTTATGAAAGATTCGGTTGGCACTAGGAAGCTACCAGTATTTTTAGAAAGTCTTGCCACTGTGATTTTGAAAGAGTCAACACAGAATTGTATATGAGAGTTTTTTGTTGTTGACAATTTTTTAAATCAGCTATGAAATTGTCCTGAAGCCAATTCTGAATTCAGACTCTCTGTACAATTGTCTCTGGTCTAGACAATTTTGATCGTTCTGGTCATGAAGCAAGAAAGGGTTTTTTTCTGCGAAATGCTATTTTATTAGTAAAGAAACAGTTTATGGTCTGAATTTATAAATATTGGTTAAAGCTTGGTCTGAGTAAGAACAGGACATCCTGCTTAAAAACACTTGAATTCTGCTAATGTCTTCAAATAGGAAGCCAGAAGTAATTTCTTAAGTCTGTATGATTGTATTTTAATAAGATAACTCATGGTTCTTATCATGAATGAAATAATTTGAAGGCTAGTTTTGCCTAATCTTACAGTTAAGATAATGTATATCTTAAAATGTTACTGTTTTTCTTCTCATCTCTTGAAGCTAAAGCTGTTTCCTCATCCAACTAAGGACACAATCCTTTGCTTTTTTTGATAGAAAATGTCTTGCAACTCTCAGCATCTTCCAGCCATTGATGCAGGCTGGGAAATGCTAGGAATTGTAGGATTTACTTAAACATGCCTAAAATGTTTTCAAAGCCCTTTACAGCCAATTTTATCTTACGTAGGCAGACATTCCTACTAGCTTTACTGAGCATGACAGAGAATTATATTATCAGGACACTTCATGTCCTACATTACAAGATTACCTGATCAGCTGCCACAGTCTGGTTTACTCAGGCTTATTCTTTTAAGTGAAACCCTAGGAATAAATCCGATTCCGAAAACAACTCAGCAATGCTGCAAACTACCTAAGCAAGCTGTGGAATCCCCTGTCTTGCAGACTTTTAAAGAAATACTGGGCTATGTTCTTGTAAAATAGTATAAGTAGAAAATTAATCCAGGTGCAGGAAGAAAAAAACATTATTCTGTGTAGCATTGCCATGTTGATTCCAATCTGCTGTGGAAAGAAAGTTGCTTCTTGGTCTGTCTGAAAATGTTCCAAGTGTCACTAAATATAATACCCTGCAGGTCTTTTTTCCTTGCAAAATTTGGGCTGTTGCAATCTAAAATTCCATATTAAGACATCCCTAGGATTTGACTGCTTCTTAATGGGTAGGGGGAGGATATGAATGTAGCGAGCACTATGTATAGATGTACTAAATCTTTAAAATTGAGGGGGTTGTATGTTCTGTGTATACCACCCTTGTGAGTGAAAATGTGCATTTCCATACTATGAAAATATAAAATGTCATATTTAAATATCTAACGCACAAAACTGAAGGATTTTTTTTGTTAGTGATAGTTTATGGGAAAGTGTAACTTTATTAATCATCTATAATGTGTGCAATACTGTAATGTAGACAAGTTGTAATAAACTACCTTTTGGTAAACATGGAATACACTTTGTAAAGTTTCTATAGCAAATTGTCAGTGAGAATTTAAGAATTTAATATTGAGTTCATGAATGCTGTATGAATTTCTGTATTTGGGAGTTCTGGTGAATTCAAAAAAACAGCAATCTTAGTTATTGAGTTATTTAGTACTCTCTTGGTGGTTTACAACAATCCATTGAAAATACAATCTAAAATACTTCACATTATAATAACATTATAAACAAAAAGTTGCCATACAAAATTTAAAACCATTTTTAAAATAACTTGAACAAGATGAATATTAGAACCTGATTAAACAACACTGCCCTAGTAAACTAATTGAATATCCTGCACTAGAGGACAGTCTTAACCTGCTGTCAAAAAGATAATAAGGTTGGTGTCAGGTGGGCCTCAGTGGGAAGCTCGTTCCATAACTGGGGAGCCACAACTGAAAAAACCCTTATTATCAGTTGAGTCAGGAGCAGGTCCCAGAACTTGATTGTAGTGTCAAGTTCCATCAGGTATTCTGGTCCCAAGGTGTGAAAGGCTTTATAGCCTAAAACCAGCACCTTAATTAGGTTCAGAAGTATACGGGCAGCCAGTGCAAGCAGACCAGGACTGCTGTTAATATGCTCAGACTCTGTGGTCACAATTAGAAGTCTGGTTGCCACATTTTGCACATGCTGCCACTTCTGACCATACTTCAAGGGCAGCCCCATATAGAATGCATTGCAGTGAGCTAGTTTAGAGATTACCAGAGCACAGATTACTGATCACAGACTATCTCCGTCCAGATAGGGGTGTACCTGAGCCACCAGCCAAAGCTGGCAGCAGTTACTCCATGCTACCAAAGCCACCTGGACCTTTACAATGATGACTCAAGGAGCACCCTAAGCTACAAACCTGCCCCTTTGAGGGGAGTGTAATTCCATCTAGAACAGGTTGAATTCCATCCATCCAGTCAGGAGAACCACTCACTAACAGCTTCTCAGTCTTGTCTGGAATGAGCTTCAGTTATTAGCCCTCATCTAGTCAATCGTTATAGCCAGGCTCACCTGCTGTACCCAAAAAGGAAGAATAGAGCTGCCGGTCGTCAGCATAATGCACTCCACAATTTCCAGTGACCTCGCTCAGTTTCATATAAATGTTAAATATCATGGGGGACAAGACAGGTCCCTGAGGGATTCCATGCTGGAGGATATAGGGGGCAAGAGGAGCAAAATCCCCCAAGCACCATCTTCTGGAGCCTACTGTCCAAGTAGGAGCAGAACCACTCAGGGCAGTGCCCCTCACTCTCAAGTCAGTCACTGCAGAAGGATACCATGGTTGGTGGTATCCAAAGCTGCAAAGAGGTCCAGGTGTACCAACAGGATTACACTGCTTCTTTCACCCTGGCAAAGGTCAACATAACATGGCAACCAAAGCTGTTTCTATGCTAAAACAGAGTTCAAGCCTGAACCCCCAATGAAGTGGATCCAGATAATGTCATCCAAGAGTGTCTGGAGCTGGGTGGCCACTACCCGCTCAAAAACCTTGCCAGCCCCAATTTACTGAGTTCTTCCAGTCCCGGGGAGGGTTTCTTCAGGAATGGTCTCTACCATTGTTCATTTCAAGTGACAATGGACCACTCCTTGCAAAGAGATATCAATCACTTACCTGCTAGCTTTTATTAGTAAAGAGAAGCAAGACTCCTATACAGATGTGGTCACATGAACCTGTCCAAGCACATTGTCAACATCCTTGAGCTACACCAACTGGAGCTCATCTAAAGAAACTTGACAAAGCTATGCTCTGGATATCTCACCTGATTCCACTGGAATTAACATTGGAGTCTTCCATCCTGGTGGATAAAAGAGATTTTGTCCTGGAAATGCCTAGCAGATATATTGCAGCAGGTCTCATATAGCTTCAAGATGACCTTGGGACCAGCTTGTAGTAGGCCCCAGACAATCCTAGACAGAGCTCTGCTGAGTGGCTGGGAGTGGAAAGGCTAATGCTTCCCAGGTGGTGCAGACTGCCTTTCCTGAAAATCCCCTTTATATAGTATATAGGGGATATATACTATAATTTATATAGTAATTAGACTTTTAAAAGTTTTCATTGGTGTAATGGACACTTTTAAGAGCCAAAATGCTCTATGAAATAGATGGTGAGGGAGAGAAAGTGTATGTGTGTGCATGTGCAGTGCTTTATGGTGGCTTTGCTCTCACCTAGCCTTGAGACTGGCTTGTGTCTCCCCACCAGCAAAGGTTTACCATGGGTAATGTGGCCCATGGGCCCAAAAGTCATTCCACACACTGCTTAAGTGATCTAAAGCAAGCTATTCTCTCCCAGGCTGGCATCACACATTCACAGGGTTGTATATCAAGTAGTAACAATGTCTATTAAATCCTTCTTAATGCCAGGTTGTAACACAACAAAATATAGAAACATCAAGGTGAGGTGTGTATGAGTATTTCTGTAAGGCATTATATATTTTCATGATAACTGGGAATTCCCCCACTTCAATTAATGTAGATTACAACTGCTCATAATTTATGCTTTTTTCACCGAAGTGTCATTTCCTTCCCTCACACCCCTGCCCCGGAGGTGGACCAACAGCCTTGTATAGAGATTAATATGTGATTTTATCAAATCCTGATGACTGACAGTGAAACACCCATTTTACCCACTCCTCTCCCATTACCTTCACTGTTGTTCCTTAAACTCACACTGGTCAAACCGATGAAGTTCGAAAAGCCTTGTCAGTGTCCGAATGATCATCACTCTGTCACTGGTTCTTCTTGCTGTGTGCACCAACACTGCATCTATGGCCCTTCAAAGGAAAAATCACACCAGCCGCTGGGAGTGGGAACTGAACAAAATACCCAATTATAAATTCATACCAGTTAATAATGATCAAAGGGGTCTGCGCAGAAAAAATAATAGGTGGATGGAGAAAACCATTGCAATGGGTTCTGTGCTTGAGGAGACCCCAAAAATGCATTACAAAATAGAAATTGCCTTTTCACAAGTAATCAACTCATTTTAAAGTCCTGATGCACACACATTTGAGGCTATATGTCTGTCTCTTATGTGTCAATAAATTGTGGCAAATAAGGTCATTTCATGTATCTAGCAGCGATGTTGTTTGCAACCATAGAGTAAGGTGAAAGAGACCTGATCTGCATCTTTAAAGCATCTTGGTACACATCAAACTCCCGATCTGAATTCTGTAGCATTAAAATGGGACAGGATGCTGGTGCACCTGGTAAATTCAGACTCATATTGTTAGTTTTGACCCCCAAAAGCATTTTTAAGTGTCACATGTCAAATAAAGCATTGGCCATCAATTTGCACTATGGGAATAACATGGTTCTGCCCAGAGAAACAAAGACTTCCACGTTGGTCTTCTGGCCTGGTTTGCTGCATTGAATTGCAGCAGTCGAAGAACGCACATCTCTTTTGATTCAGAGAAGAGCCGGTACTCCCTCCCCTTGTTTCCTGCCAATGCTACTTTCCTCTTCTATTGTGTTGGGACAAGGATGATTTTTATCCTGGGCTCCAGAGCATGAAAAAGGACACAAAGCGTGCGAAGCTCTGGCAAAGCAGGTGTAGGTGCAAGCAAAGGCACAGCTGCATTTGGCTACTAGCAGGAGGCGGCACAGGGATCCCAAAGGCAGCTGCTTGGCAAGGTGTTTGGAGGGGTGGGCCACAAGACCAGGTCTTTCACCAGCCTTCGCCCATTTGGGGCCCTTTAGACGTGCTCGATCACAATTTCCATCGCCAGCAGCTGGCCATGCTGGCTGGTAATGATGCGAGTTGAAATTCAAACTTCAAGTTGGGAAAGTGGTTTCAGACAAATCTGTGGAGGCACAGCCGGGCCCGCCGCAGGCAGGGGCCCATCCAAAGTCGCCGTTCCTTCGCTGCGCCGGCCGGGAAGGCCCGCTGCCGCCTCCCGGGTTGCTCTGAGAGAAATGCCAGCCTTTCTTCGGCGCAGGCATTTGCCGCCCTCTATTCGGAGGGGCGGACTTTGCCCTGGGCGGGTCTGTAAAGCATTGCGCCCGCGGCGGCTTTGCGATGCCGCTTCCAGAACTGCGAGGCCTCCCTCCCCGCACGCGCGGCCGCTCGCTCGCTCGCTCGCTCGCTCCGCATCCAGCCCCGGCAGGGTTCGGCCCGGGTTATTTTCTTTCCCCACATACGCGGACCGTCCTTCAGGAGTGCCTATCGGCCAAGGTGTAAAGCTGTGAGGTGATAATGAGCTCACTTGCAAAACGCTGATTGGCCTAGAGGAAAATCACCTGCCCTGAGCCGTGCCTGGCCCTAGAGCTTGGCAGCCGACCCAGCCCGCGCCGCGCCTGCGTGCTGCTATTGCAGGGTTGCAACCCTGCCAACAGGGAGGGTTTGCAGTGGGTTACCTTCATGAAGCTGGTCGGCAGGATCGCGCGCTCTGCACACCCGATCAGTCAAGTTTCTTCTTTTGCTCTTTTGCAACGAAGACCTGTTTTCTTTGCTTCTGTCTCTCATTCCCAATCTTCTTGCCTTGCCTTTGGGACTACAAGCGGTAAGGTTCCCTAAAAAGCGACACGCTTCCCTGTGCCTTCCTCCTTGCCCATGAATGCTCAGGCCACAGTTGAGCTGGTGAATATTTGAAAAACCACACATTTCTTTGACTTTTTCTCCCCTAGAACTGCATTATCAGTAAAATGTAAAACCATGAGTCAAGCTGAAGAAGATGGATAGCGAAACGAATGCATTATTTCCTTTTGGCTGCAGTGTGAGTGATTCACTGCAGGTAATCAAAATTTTGCATTACTTTGCAGTGGCTTTCTCTTTTAAATATATAATAGAAAAAGGACAAATAGATCAGTACTAAACTCAGGGCTAAAATACATAACTGTTACGGATTCCTTGAAAAAAATGACAAATATTAAAAAGAAAAAAATATTCTAAACACACTTTCCCTAGTTGAACATTATGTGATTTTCACCCCCTCAAATTTTTGGAACTGCTGTTTGCTGTTGCACAAATATAGCATTCATCAAT